CCACAATTAAAATGCTTTAGTAATGGACAAGGATACAGGTTCACAGGCAGTTACTTAACATTTAAGCCACTATTAAAAGCCTTAAGTAATGGACAAGGATACAGGTCCACAGTCAGTTAGTTAACATCTAAGCCACAAATAAAATGCTTTAGTAAGGAACAAGGATACAGGTTCACAGGCAGTTACTTAACATCTAAGCCACAAATAAAATGCTTTAGTAATGGACAAGGATACAGGTCCACAGGCAGTTACTTAACATCTAAGCCACAATTAAAAGCCTTAAGTAATGGACAAGGATACAGGTCCACAGTCAGTTAGTTAACATCTAAGCCACAATTAAAAGCCTTAAGTAATGGACAAGGATACAGGTCCACAGTCGGTTAGTTAACACTTAAGCCACTATTAAAAGGCTCTTATAAATCCGTACCGGCCTGTGTACAGGTAGAAGTATGCGACGATATCAATACCTTGACATTAAACCTGCAAGACTACACTAGGATCCCTTATATAAATATATAATATTAATTTATTCCATAAATGCTATAAAACGTCAATGAATATTCAAAAACTAATTATTCTAATATTTCAGTGCTATAAGTAATGATCTAAACATTTAAATTGTTCAAAGTAAATCCTGGCTGACGGTACTCTACTTCTTGGCTTCTTTCCGATATATAATATACTTTGTTGTTTCTTTCAGATGAGGCCTATGATTCCATATCACTATAATTCATCTATGTCAGGTTAAATAATTCACTTCCTTTGGATGACATAAAAGTTATATTGTTTTCGTAAGTGGATTCATTTCAATAAAAGAAAAATCATTTAAAGATTAAAAACACACCATAAAACAAGCCAATTGCTTTTATTATAGCATAAGTGTAATATTAGAAAACGGAACATATAAATATAATGTGTTTTGTAGCAGAGCTTAATTAGTCTGATGTATTGAATGTATGGTTTTCTTATGTAAACGCCTAGCTTCAAAAGTTAAGCTTGGCTCAAAGATGAAAAGACATAGAAAAGTTCAATGTGAATACAGTGTTTCTGTTTAGTTCAAAATAGGAGTCTATGTCATATAAAGTTACAGAAACGTAAAAATAAATAAAGCGTATTTGTTTCTTCTAACTTAGAATGTACTCCTTCATGTATCGTGTAAAACAGGACCGAGCATAACTTAATGGTGAGCGTGCCGGACAATATATAAGAAGGTCCAAGATTCGAGCCGCGATAAATATTGGTTAGTTCGAAATATGAGGCTATGTCATTTAAAGCTATAGGAACGTACAAATAAATAAATCGTATTTGTTTGTAGGAACACCTTATCCCAATTTTAAACGCATTCCTTAATGCATCGTGTAAAAAAAAAAAAAGACCGAGCGTGCAGGACAGTAGATCGGAAGGTCCAAGGTTCGTTCCACCAAATT